ATTCAAATTTAAAAACGTTATATGCGTAGATTCCACCGATTCCTACGCGTTAGTTTGCGATGATGCGAATTGCAGTTTTCAGTGTAGTACTTACGCGTGGTTCTGACGGTTGGACGAATGCCGGTAGTGCTGATAATGAAATACTTATTAGTTATTTTCGGGTGCAAAATGTTAATTTTAATTGCATAATGTAATTACTGTATAGTGTTTTTATTAAGGTGTAAGTTTAGGGTGCGCGAAAGTTTCTGTGAGTAGAAAATTATGTGGGTGGTTACTTCAACGGAAATTTTCAAAATGTCGGGAGCATTTCTGTAAGCATTTTTTGTAGATGATGCTATGTATTGCTTAAAAACACATTGTTTTATAGTAAAAAATTTTGTTTGTACAGTTACTAATTGTTTTTTCTCCTTTTTTTTAGGTTGGAAATCTGCAGGCGGTCCAGAGGTAACAATTTTCAATTTTCCCATTGATTTCATTTGATTTATGGATTATGAATACCATTTTATATTGTTGTAATCTATTAATAGCAAAAGTGATTAGTCATAGCTGGTAGAATACCTACAACGAATGTGTGTTCTGGTATAGGTACCTACGTTATTATGAAGTTTTGAAGGTGATGACTTTGTCTTTGAACATAGAATTTTCTAGATTATTTTTCATAAATTTCAAAAATTTTCGCAAAGTGTTTACAAATTGATCTACATAGGTAACCAGGTAGCTGAAAATGATATAATGAAGCTCTCAGAAACACAATTTATGTATTCTTTAGAACTTTCTTTTTTTAAAAGTTTCATGCTCAAATGAAATCACAATAAATGAAACAATTGCTTTAGATTAACTTCCGTTAATTGTCATATTTCCTTTTTGAAGTAGGTACGTGTACATTTATGAAAATCTTTCTAATAGCACCGAAATTTTAAGACAGTTTATTAATACAACAAATGGTATTTGTAGGTTCTAACCTGAAATTGTGATTGTAGTTTTTGTAATATAAGGTTGTAATTACACAATCGCAATTGTAATTGTATTGTTAATTAACTAGCCTGTTTTTATGAGAAATAAGAGCAAAATAAGAATAACAGAATGAATACTAAATATATATATTTCATATTCTTTATATAAGCGAAAACTAAAATTACAATAAGTAGGTATGATGTAAAATGATAGTATCACAGATGAAGATTGACTTTATTTTAGGTATCTGAAACAAACATAGAAAAATTCAATACTTGAATTAATACTAGGTATAGTAAATTGAGTTTAAAGGCCTTCCTAGTGATTGGTTTGGTTCTTTTGTTTTTAACTCGATTTCCATGTTATAAAAACTATATTTTATTGTGTTAAGTATTCATTAAATGTGTAAAAATCAAAGTCAAGAAGGGTTAAAATTCTTTTTTCAATTATTAAAACACCGCACCAACGTTTCCCCTGGGGTATATCTCTTTTCTACTATGTAAACCCAATTTCCTTGTAACAACGCGATACGTCGGTGTGATTTTTTAAAAATTAAAATTTTTTTTTCACTTGGTTTTGATTATTTACATACAATTAATTACAATATGGAAAGAAATGGAAAATATTAATAATTGAAACTTACTTTGCAACCCAGTCCGTTCTTCCGTGAACATTGTTGCTTGGATTAAATTCGCCTAAAATTCTTTTTGATGCTAATGGAACACTAAAACTTTCCTTTTTTTCGCTCCATGATGGTGGTGTAGTAGAACTGTCTGAAACGTAAATTCAAGCTATAAAATTGTTTTTAATGGGTAGCTATACAAATTGTTACAGATTTTTTTAAATTGATTTACAATATATTGTGTAATAAGTGATTATAACAACTTACCAACAGTTTTTCCGTGAAACATTTCTGATTTTTGAGTACCAGAATTCAACAGACTCACTGTTGAATCCCTTCGTATGACGGGTTGACCAGCTATGTAACGGGAAACGCTTAGATATCGATTTTTTGCCGAATTAATGTTAGTTTTATCGATAGGGCCTAAAATATCTTGGAGGTTTATCCTGTTTGGTTTTGTCGAGTTTTCTTTTTCTTTTCCCTTTTCTGCGACTTTTATTTTACTTCTAAACAAAAAGGTACACACTATTTCGTCAAAAAGAAAATGGCGATGGCGTATAATTTTCCAAGTAACGGGGAAAATAATATTCCTTATTAATTACAAGTTACAGACCTATCTATAGTTTTCTATTATATAATGGTTAAATAAATAAATTATAGACTTCGAAATTAATACAGTATAGGTCCTCAAAAATAATGAATAATACAAGGTCGAGTCATTAATAACAAATAGATATTATATTAAATACTTTAAGAAATTGTTTAAGAGTGGTTAATATTTAATGTTAATGTGAAAATTATCCACTGTAAATTACCTCAAATTAATGAGAAAAAATTGTTGCTGCTGTCACATCCTCGCCGGGAATCGAACCCAATAACCTTCTGTCATGTCTCATAACGCAGTAGACAGAACAATGATGCGTAAAGCCAAAGATACCGGGTTCGATTCCCGGCGAGGGTGTGACAGCATCACACATTTTTTTTCTTATTAATTTGAAGTAATTTATAGTGGATAAAAATTAAATAAATATTAATATTAAATTGAAATCACTTCTATACTGATAAACGATTTTGAAATTCGAAAGATTAAATGGTCAAAGGTTTCTTGCAGGTACATACCCTAACAATTCAGTAAATTCGTCATCTTCAAAATCCAAGCCGTCTCCAAAGTTCCAAGGCAAAGTTTTAGCTTGAACGTACTTGTTGTTGTTATTTGGTTTTGTTTTACTTGAAAAATCAACTTGCCGAAAACTGTAAACGATAGGGGCCACCGGCTGAATCGGTTGATTTCTCGCTGATCTTCGTATCGATTTTATGTTGGAATTTAGTTCTTCTGCGGGGGGTTGTATTGATGTCGTTGCTATCGATCCTTGTTGTCCGGACATTACTGTTGGTTGTAACAAAGGTCGAAACTGGTGTCCAAACCAGTCGTTTTGAGATTGCGGCTGTTGAATATCGGATTGGCCGCCGTCTAATTTTATTTGGGCGTTTTGATTAGCATTTATTTTTAAAAATGGCATGTTAGCTTGTTGAAAATCGTTTTGTTGTGATGCATTCTGACCTTCCACAATGACGTTTTGTTGTTGGGGGTCTACTGTAACGTTATAATTGACCTGTTGAACTGCAGGTCTAACAAAACTGCTTCCATAGCGTTGACTTACCTGGAAATTATTTTTTTATTTTAGTCGTCGTTAGTTAACGAGTTCGGATTTTGAAAACGAAAATGTATCTAACTAAAACTCAGTCTAATTTGGAAAATTAGCTGGAACAATTAAGTAATTTGAATTTTTAATTTACCATTCGGTTATTAGTCAATTAGTAATCGTATGAACGGTCAGCTAAGATTCAAATTGAAAGAGATCGAACAATCAACCACGAGAAGCGAATGAAGCAGGGTGGTGAGGCGGGTGGACGTCTTCACTCGCCCCGATGGCTTCTCTGTCAATTTTTAATGTGTGCATATAATAATGTAAGAAAATAATGTATTTATGATACATTTAATTATTTGTTAAGTGTAATTTTTGTCCAAATTGTTGATTAGATTATAATTTAATTATATTTAATTAAATATATCCTAAATCCAGTATAAAAGTCGTTTATGTATAACATGATGGAGGCATCAGGATCAATACCCGGGACCTCCACCATGTTATCTATACATATAATATACAAGTTAATCTTATATATCTAGGATTTAGAGTGATACTTAGTTTGTATAAAGAGCAACAGGCAATTATAGAGCTAGGGATGCAACGTAGAGAAGTAAATATTAGGAAGGGAGTCAGACAGGGATGCACACTGTCACCGCTACTTTTTAATCTATACATCGAAGACGCCATCAACATCATTAAAGACAGTACAACTGTAGGGATAGATGTGCAAGGGCAAAAGATTAGTATGCTTAGATTTGCAGATGATATAGCAGTATTAGCATCTAGCAAGGAGGACCTAGAGATAGCTTTAAATAAAATGGAAGCGGTACTGACAGATCAGTACTGTATGAAAATAAATAAAAGTAAAACTAAAATACTGATATGCAAGGGAAGAAAAAGTAGGGAAAGAGCGAATATAAAGATAGGAGACGAAAAATTAGAAGAAGTGGCTGATTTTAGATACCTAGGAAGTCAGATAAGTGAGGATGGAAGGAGTAGTAGGGATATAAAGCAGAGGATAGCGCAGGGTCGTGTCGCCTTTAATAAAAAGAAGTCACTTCTATGCTCGCGAACGGTTAATTTAGAAATTCGAAAAAGGTTGTTAAAGGTGTATGTTTGGAGCACGGCGTTGTACGGGTGCGAAACATGGACAGTGGGAGCGGCGGAAAAGAAAAGGTTAGAAGCGTTCGAAATGTGGTGTTATAGGCGGATGATGAGGATATCGTGGGTAGAAAAGGTTAGAAATGAAGAGGTATTAGAAAGAATAGGAGAACAGAGGACTTTATGGAAGTCAATAAGAAATAGGCGAGATAGGTTGGTAGGACACCTTCTCAGGCATGAAGGTCTAGTCAGAGACATATTGGAGGCAGAAACAGGAGTTAGGAAGGGTAGAGGTAGACTCAGATTAGATTACTGTTTGCAAATAGTTAAGGATGTGGGTTGTTTTAGTTTTAGGGAAATGCGAAGTTTAGCTCAGAATAGGAAAGAGTGGAGGTACGTGTCCAACCAGTCTTAGGACTGACGACCTTATGATGATGATGATGATGATTTCAACTATCTACTAAAATAAATAAACGTCTCTTTTTATTTACTTGAAAATACGTATGTTTCAAAGCGGAAAGGGCTGTAGGTCTGTAGGAGGGATTCCACTCTAATAGAATTTCCATTAAACCTACTCCAAGTTGACTAGCTTGAGGAACAACTTCGTTCAATGGAGTAGACGAAAAATGTGGGAATTTGTAACCCAATGCTCCAGCAAGATGATAGCCTTCGGGCCATCTTTTCTAAAATTTTTTTTGTATGTCAAATACATATTATAAGCTCCTAACTATATGTACTGTGTGTCCTAATTAAAATAATAATTATAGTTATAATAATGGAAAATTAATTAGAATATAAAAAACCAAGGTTCAAGCGTGCGTAACTAAAACGTGCCCCTTAGGAATACATGAATTTCGTAAAATTTTTACATGACGAAAAGTACACTGATGGATTGAGTAAAATAATTGAGTGACCTAGAGATTAGCTTTAAGTGAGACAGCGGGAGCTCTTACAATAGTAATGAAAAATGAAATATCAAGACTAGACTTCATCTTGGTCTTGGGTACCCAGCGAATATGGTCTTTTTTTTCTACCGTTGTGCTCATTTTTCTTGCAATTTCAAATTTATCTTTATCATTGCGAAATTTTGACTTCTTCAACATAGCTAATAAGTCTTTGTCTTGCTCTTGTTCATTTGATTGAACAAGTATAGCTAAGGTTTGGTTTTGATCTTGGCTTTACTAAATGTGCAAGAACAAGTCAAGACAAAATTGCAAAACCAAAGCTATTTTTGCTTGTCACTATCACGGGTAGTTCAGCTCACTTCTTATCGTGGTATTGTCCATGTGGTAGGCATATTATAGCAAAATTGGGCTTTTCAGAAAATGAAAAAGGACTTAAAACAATTGGTCAAAACTACACAGCCTTATCTGAGTTCTTCAAAACTTCTAGCCTATCCCATTCTTCATTTCCTAAAAGGTAGATTAAAAATTTTGAAGGTCTCAAAGAATGTTGTGTAATTTTGGCCAATTGTTTTAAGGCCTTTTTCACAAAGCCTCCGTATTTTGAAATTTTACTAAATCTCCAAGACATCGACATGAGAAATTTTAAGTGAAATCGTTGAATAAAAGTTCCATAGCACGGGACATCAGGAATCTCTAGTAAATAAGGAACACGGAGAAAACTAAATTTTTAAGATGCAAAAATTAGAATTTTCGATTGTAAATGACTAAATTTGCAGTAGAAATAGTAGAATTTATTAGGTAACTTGTAATATTCTCAATTTTGACATGTTTCTTTAAAAATTATTTCAAGTTTCTTAATGATTACAATTTAATTTGTAATGTCAACAAAAATATCCGGTAAATTTATTTCTGGTGGGANTTATTATTTTATTTTACATTATTTGGGTTTTTAACATTGTTGATCTTGGCCCTTGACTATGTACTAACAAATTCGCTTATATACTAAAATTAAGGATGGGGTTGAACAATTGCAAAAGAAACCACTAAAGATTTAAAATAGATTTATTTACATCGACCTTATATGCCTAATATGTCTCATTTATCAATCTCTAAACATTCTGATTGTTTAATACGAAACCTTTTCACACAGGCAATAAGCCCGCACAGGCCAAAGAGGTAGATGTTTTAAAGAGAGGATGAAAGAACACAAAAAAGCTATGAAAACTACATCTGTAATTCAATTTATACAAAGCAGTTTATTACAAAACTCAAATAATTTCGAAATTATACGTGTAGAAAACAAAAAAACATGTTTAAGAGATTAATAAATTGAACATATTAGGCCTAATCTTCTATTTATAACTACTTTTGTAATCACCCTTAAATTTAGTACCCACCTGTATAAGCGAATTTGTTAATAGCTGAAGTTCAGTACTGAAGAAGGCATCGCGTCGTGTGGATTTTTTGTCACTTTGTGTTTGCTTGCGTCATTATTATCACGGAGTAATTAAAAGCTTTCATTGATTTATTAAATAAAATGTTTCAGATAACACATATTTGATCTTTTTAGGAAAATATTATAATAATTGTAAAATGTATTCGCAAATATTCGGAAACTAATTCAAGAACTTTTCAAAAAAATAAAAGGAAAAACTGGAGGAACATGTGGATACTTAATAAGCTTAAAATCGGGTTAAGTTTATAAATGATTGAGACACACTGATAGGATTTTTAAAAAGTCTAAAAACCTTGTCAGGAGTTCCTAAAATTGAACAAATTTTATACAGTTGATCAGTTTCTGTTGTCCCCGGAAATAGAGGTCTGAACGTATAAATTTCTGCGGCAATACATCCAACTGCCCATAAATCTATGGGACTGCTGTATTGTGTAGAATGTAGGAGAACTTCAGGGGCTCTGTACCAACGCGTCGAGACATAATCTAAAAATTACATTTTGCTTTTGAATTTCGCCCAAATTCAACTCAATTTGTTATAAATGTTAGGTGTTATGTCTTCAGCTAATAATCTCAAATGTTAAAGTCTCCGGTGGCCGGGATATTGTTTTGTAACTAGAAATGGCACCAGTTACCCATAATAAAAAATACCATAGAAAATACATAAGTACAAATATAAATACTTTATACAAGTATTTCAAATACTGAAATAAATACTACGTGGAATGTAAAATTATAAAGAACTAGGACGACATAAGTAGGGTTGCCACCCGTACTTTATTATAAAATATTGTACTCTATTTCGACTGTGCGAGAGAGAGACACAAAGTACGCAAAAATATTATTTAAGGCTTTAAGTAAACATTTTAGTCGAGAAATACTTTATGTAAAGCCTGAAAAGGTGGCAACCCTAGACATAAAGTACAAATAAAGAAAACATCAGTCTTTTAATATTGCCGTACCTAGTATGTTAAAACCAACCCAGTATTTAAGTAATACAGTGGAATTTGTTTATTATGACTCCGCCTATATTGACCAACCGCTTAATATGAAGTAATTGCAGTGTTAAGTTTGGTTTTCATATTAAATTCTCTATAGAAAAGTCTGGATATAATGACTCCGTTTAAAATGACATATCGTTGATTTCTTAAGAAATCATATTCGGCTATAGTGACCCAAATGATTAATTTTAACATTTTCGCTCATTTTTCTTACCCTTCTTATGTATATTGATATTACAATTCATCGTTCTTTTTCTATTTCTGTTAATAAATATATACAATTTGTAGTTTTTCTCTCTATTAAACTAAATAACTAATCAAAATAGAAAGTTGTTTATTTTCTAAGACNTTTGTGCACTGTACTCCGTAAACTGGCACGTCTAACAGTTTGGCGAATGTCGTTAAGGTTGTTACGACACCTTCGACAGGATGTATAACAAATACAGGGTTCTTTTTGCTGTCAGTGCTTCTGCTTTCCATTTGTATGATCGTTTTTGTAGGCATAAGTTCTGAAGATGGTTCAAATTGAACCTGTTTGTCATCAACAACGGCTTTGACCGTGTTACTTTGTGCTGGTGCAGCTTCTCCACTTCCCCCACCACTTTCCAGTTTTACAAGGCTTCCAAATGTGAGACCACGAATTTCTTGCGCGCTTAACACAGAATACATACTTAATTATTTTTTTTTAATTAAATTTTTTGTTCGTTTTACCTGTGTAAGGCGGTCTTGATCGTATTTCTCTAACCAACCCGAAATCGGCAATCTTTACTAATTCCGGTCCTGAGCATAACAAATTTTCAGGTTTTAAGTCTCTATGAAAAAATCCGTGACGATGAATAAAAGCTAGTCCTTGTAGAATCTGCAAACAACTCTTTCCAACTATGTCTCAACAATTATGAAATTTAAGGTTACTGAATAAGGTAATGTTTTAGTCCATTCAATTCACCTGATATAAAATATTTCTAACTATCGCTTCGGGAAATGGCACTCTGCGATCCTTGATCAACTGATACAAATTTTCTTGCATGTATTCGAAAACAAAATATAGGACATCGTTCTCTCTAATGACTTCTTTTAATTTTACTACATTCGTATGGTGTAATTTCTTTAATGACTGGAATAAAAATATAAAATAGCAAACATTCTTTGTATAAATAATTTTTTTCTAATTTTTAGTGAATGTTAATACTTTATATTATTAAAAGCAGGCTTTCGAATGTCAATATTTTCAAAAACTTGATTTTTTTTAAGATGACCTAAATCGGTTCACTTGTAAAAAACTTTTAAGAAAAGATCTAGTGATCTACTTAAGTTAGGGTTCTATTACGTCACGTTAGTTTGATTAATTATGAAATTAACGTAACGTAACCTAATAACCTGTAACTTTAACAAAACAACAAAAAAATTGTTTGGAACACCTTGCCCCCGATTATTTCCTGTAATTTTTTCATAAGTGTACTATTTAAGGTCATTTCTCTCAAGTTTTCGAAAAAGGTGTATTGTGGAGTTTTATCAAATTTTTAACTTTTTTTTATTTTGAATATGGAAGAATAAAATGATTTACAAACCTTAACTTCCCTTAAGCTCATGGCCTCCTCCCAGGAGTAGTACTTCCTTTTCATCCTTTTAATGGCAACCTTTTCACCGGTGTCCTTTCTTTGGCCAAGAACGACGGACCCGTAAGTTCCATCACCAAGTTGATGTAAAGTTATATATCGATTCATTCTAATATTAGGCTAGGTACGTACTATACGTACATATTACAATGAATCATGAAGACAGTCTCAAGTCTAGCCCATTTTCTTGCACAAACAATTGTACGCAAAACTATTCAAGTGTTGACAAGAGCGTTTGCCAAAATATGGAAATATCACTGTCAACTGGTAATTTGTACCTAACTCGTCTATTAAAAATAAAAGTGCAACTGTCACCGAGTTCCGTTGTTTTTATTTGACCATGACGAACTAAATAAACGAATGCTACACTACAACAAAGTGGGCCGCGAAGCGGGTGTATCGATTATTTTCTAAAGGGGAATTCTAAATAACTAGTGGTTGCGTGTATTTCATTTACGAGGTAATTTCTGTAGGTGGACGGTAGGTAATTATAGGGTTCGATTCGATTTGTTTCAACATAAATAAATTATGTAGATGTACCGTTTTCTTTTGCAATCTCCATAGTGGAGTGTCGTTAGATTTATCCCTCGAAATAAATCGCCATTAATCAAATTATTATTTTATTTTTTGGAACGTGTTCTTGGTACTACATACTAAAATGTTTATGTTTTTTGGTTCGCTTATTATTTTTTAGATAATTAAATTATTGATTATACGAGGTTTGTTTAAATTATTTATTTACTCATAAATATCGGTAAATGTCGGGGGTGGGGTGGGTAGGATCGAAAGAGGAGGTCTCCCCGCCACTGTACCATAAAAAGTTCGTGGAGGTCTAACCCCCATAAAAAGTAATGGGGGTTAGATGGGGGGGGTAGGGGAGAATGAAAGAGGGTGGCCACATGAGTAAAACATCATAAAAAATTTGCGGCGGTCACCTCCATAAAAAGTTATGGGGGTTGAAAGTTGATTATTTTTTAGACAATTTTCATACACTATAATTCAAATAAAATTCAATAAAATAATTTTCAAGCGGGTGGAGGTGGGGGATCGAAAGAGGGTGGTCACTTGAATAAAACCCGAGAACCTAACCTACCCTATTGATAAATATATTCAAGTAATGTTTTACATAACTTTCTCAATATTTTTATGTATTTTTTCTATTAGTTTTACCTTTGAATATTGTTTAAGAATGACTATATAAATATTTACATGCCCAGAAATGTATAAAAATTGGCATATTTATTAACTTTGAACCCCCATAACTTTTTATGGGGGTGAGACCGCCACGAACTTTTTATGGTACAGTCGTGGGGCAGACCTCTTCCTTCGATTCCCCCCCCCCCCATTTTGTCAATTTCAAAGTTGTCCCTACCAGATAATTTACACATGTGCTAACGTTTTTTCCAATCCTCGAAGCACTTCAAAAAATTATTTTTTTATCTTGTTCAGCTTCTCCTTTGATGTCGTCTTTATCTCCTTAATCATAGCGTAGCATCGCCCTCTCATGGGCCTCTTCAGTTTAGGGAACAACAAAAGTCACAGGGGGCCAGATCTGGGGAATACGGTGACTGCGGCATTATTAGTGTGTTGGTTTTGGCCAAAAATTCGCGCCAAAGCAGCCATGTGTGAGCAGGGGCATTATCAAAAGTCAATTTTTGTTCGTTCACAAATCCAGGCTTTTCTGGCGGATTGCTTCACGCAATTTACGCATAACTTGCAAGCAGTATTCCTTATTGTCCGTTCTACCCTGTGGTAAAAACTCATAATGCATCATGGTGCACTTTTTTCGGTTTTCGCTCGTGCGGCAGCTTCCATTGGGATGATTGAGCTTTGGTATTCACGTCATAACGATAAACTCGTGATTCATCACCAGTTATGACCCTTTGGAGCAAATTTGGGTTGTCGCGGACAAAGTCCAACAGCTCCTTAGCAATATTAATGCGATGCTGTTTTTGGTTGGTATGGTATTAATTGGTATTGAGCAATTTTAGTACGAATTTCGCGGCGACTCGTCTCATACCCAAATTATTGGTAAAAATCAAATGGCAGGAGTCAATAAATACGGAAGAACATCCTGGAATAGTGACTGGGACAGTCTTGGTCTTACTTTGCTTATTCGGTCTTGGTCTTGCTCAAATCTTTATATTTTTTGTCTTGATCTTGGTATTGCGTGTAGACCTGGATTAGATTACTGTTCACAAATAGGATGTGGGATGTTCTAGCTTTAGGGAAATGCAATGTTCTAACCGATCGATACTATTTTAATAAATTTATTTCACCCCTTTTTGGCTCTGACTATTACAAGGGTAAGAAACGGAACTTTGTTTCTCTGTTGACTTCATTTTTTTTGTTATCCTATACTAATACTAAATTTCAAAAATTTGAAATGGATCGAAATTTAAAAAATGAAAACTAAAAAAATTTCTTGTAGGTAACTACAGAAAATTGTAAGGAAATTTTCTTTTGGGTGTGTTTTTTTATTAGAAATATCATTTTGAAACAAAATAATCTTGATAATTAAAAGTTTTTTTCTATATTTAACTCAAGGCGAATTGATTATTGATTTTGTTTGAGTTCTCCCAGCAAATTCGAAGTTAAAAATATTTTTTTTCCTTACCCTTACCGTAAGTCCGAAAGAAAGTGAAATACTACTTTCCGGCCTTCGGCTCGGGAGGCAATTTATACGGGAGGGAATGCTGTACTTTTTTTCTTTGATGAGTTTTTACATAATTATCATAAATATGAAAATCTCTAGGATCTGGCTAAATAATCCAACGTAAAGGGGGCAACCTAACTTTTGTAAACACAAAACAGCTGTTTCTGTTCCTGGTCGATATTATTTAAAAGGTATACTTATTTTTAAAGTAATAATTTACTACCAGTTAATTAAAGTAATGACAAACGAGGAAAATCAACTGAAAAAACGAAAAGTTGTTCATAAAAGTGATAAAACTGCCGAAACAGTTCCTGATAAGAATAAGTACGTATCACTTGTAGTTATTCGTATTAGGTTATTAGTTTTACACTACTTGTAGAACATTAGGATCTCTGCCAACATTCCCAAATCAAAGATTATGGAGTCGCTCAGTATTAATAATTGGATTATTACTATTTATATGGTACAAATCCAGTAGTAAAAACGGAAATATCACATTGGCAAAACAAAGTGAAATATTAGCAAATAAAGGTAGCATGTTTGATTGTGATGCTGATTATTCAAAAGAAGTCACCTCTTATCCAGAATGTATCCCTAATGTATGTGGAAGACTTGTTACTGATAAACTTATAACTGGCACTGAAGCCGATATGCTACATAAAATTGCACAAAGAGGTAATTTGTAATTATCATTTGTTTAGGGTTAAAATATGCCATACAAAGAGTATTACATGTCCCAAATGAATGGGTGTCTCCAAAAATATAAAATGGAAAGGAGCTATTCATTAATTACGTAAGAATACGGGGGGGGGGGTTAAGAAAATCTCACCATGTCCTTATGTTGGGGGAGGGGAGGGGCAAAACTCTTATATGTAATATTTTCTAAATCGATATTCAATATTAGCAATCTAATTCCATTTTGGATTCCGAATGATCTTCCAATCTTTTAGTCTGAACAAAAATTAATGTTTTAAATTAATCTGGCTTGAACTGTATAATTTATTTTCTTTAAAACTAATTTGAAATTAACCGATTATTGTTTTATGAAAAGTATTATTCGTTTGTAATTTTACTGATTTATATTTACTGACTTTAAAATTATTTGAAAAGTCACTTTTAATTCTAGTATCAAATACTTGTCTAATAATAATACGGTTCTAATCTAAATTTTATAGCAATAGAAGAGTATAATTTAAATTATTAATAAAAGATAAAAATCTTTGATTCACATTATACTGTAAGAATTGACCCTTTTCTAACATTTTATTGTTTAGAAAAACGATATAGAATCTTACGTAAAAATGGAAAGGGGGAGTTCGAGAATTCTTATGTATCCGTACATGGGGCTAGGGGGGGTCAAAAGTCATTACGTAATTAATGAATGACTCCAAACTGCAGAAAGATTTTTCCCTTATTTCAGAATGTTGTGGTGGTAGTCAGGGACTTACAGTTAAATTATTTTATGGTTTATTATGCATACTTACTTCGTTCATAAAATACATTCGAAATAAGGGGGAGGGAGCGGTATTGCTTAGTGACTTGATATGGCAAAAGAGGAGGGGTCTAAAGAAATGTTGGGCTCGTAGTTCATCAATTTTATTTTAATGTTTTTCTTAGCTTAGCAGTTCTTAAAATTTATTATTACAATAGAACTCACAAAAAATCGTTCATGGGGGGTGGACTAACCTTTTTGACGAAGGGGAAGGGAGGGGATCCAAAAATGTGAAATTCTGAGTGACGTATTTTATGGACGACTCCTTAATTACTTGTGCACATTTTTATAAAAATTAATAATGAAACACTTTTCATTAAGGGACAAATATTAAAAGTGGCATTGGAAATACCCAGCTAACTGTATTTATTGTTTAAGGATTTGCTTTGGGAGGTTCTGATGGTGGAGCATCTATTTTTGATTTGCATTCGGGAGCATTATCATTCAAAACTAAATTCGTTAATGTCTTGGCACTTAATGAATCAAAACGAATTTTAAGTCCTATTGATGTTTCAACTTACAAACTAGTAATGAATAAGATAAAAGGGGCTGTTGTACACGCTTTCAAAATAGATCCTCATAGTCTGTATCTTACTAAGCCAACATTTTTTTCCAAATTAACTAACATTCCACCAGTTACTGAGCATGACAAATATTGGATGCCTCATGTTGACAAAGTAAGTTATACTTATCCAGTTCATATTAGAAATGTACAAGATATTTTACCATTAGTAATCGTATAAGGTGTACTTATTAAATAATAATAACCAGGAGAACGACCACAAAGTTTAGACACAGTATAAAGATTCTTACAGTAGGGTCACTACAGGCCTGACGCTGGAAGCTGGCGGAAATTTTAAAATGGCATGGATGCCCGGTGGCAAAAGTAGACAGTGTTTAGGTGTAACGATCGCAGCCCTCTTTCTTCAGTATTCCTATCAGGGGCGTAGATTAAATATTTCAAAATAGGGATCAGTGAGCAAGTAATAAACAGACAAACAGAAGAACTAATTGTTGATGTTGGTGACAGTGGTAGAGATTCCCATGATGACAGTGAATGTGAAAACTAACTTTAAAACAAAAGCAATAGGTTTATTTTTTCTTTTTGGTAAGTTATGTTTCTACATTATTTCCTAGTACGCTACTGTCCTATCTGTATTAATACTATAATTTACGCCTACTAAAAGCTTATTTGTGTATCGGTTCCAAGTGACTTACCCAAATAGGTCATAAATGGGCAAGTACCTGCGCGACCGCTCGCCAGCTTCCTTCGTCCGACCTGTACTTTGATCTGCCTAAAATACAGGCATTTTTGCAGGCCACTTTATCTGGTATAAGTGTTTAGATACAAAATGTATTTGTACTGTAGCTTCATGATGACACTCTGTAAAAGACAGCCTCTGCTTAGCGGGGAGCTCGTAGATGAAGTGGTAAAACGTCGGCAAGAGAGGGATGTATGGGCGTGACTGGAGAGTGAACCAACTGTATAGAATCTTCATATTGTAGGTTGTAGTTCGTTAATAATCACAAAGATCATTTTTCCACGTAATGTCTTCTTCAGCAATGAAGTTAATACGGGGGCAAAGCTTAACGGGTTTAAAATTTCGCCACGCCCCATCCGTTAGAATGTTTTTTGTAATAAAAAGTATACCGCAAATAGATACAAGCTTTAGGCAGAATCTAGTACATTCACTTATTTTTTGAAAGTAAATACAAACAACCCACATACGCGTTGAAGTTATTAGATTTATTATTTTATTTTACATTATTTGGGTTTTTAACATTGTTGATCTTGGCCCTTGACTATGTACTAACAAATTCGCTTATATACTAAAATTAAGGATGGGGTTGAACAATTGCAAAAGAAACCACTAAAGATTTAAAATAGATTTATTTACATCGACCTTATATGCCTAATATGTCTCATTTATCAATCTCTAAACATTCTGATTGTTTAATACGAAACCTTTTCACACAGGCAATAAGCCCGCACAGGCCAAAGAGGTAGATGTTTTAAAGAGAGGATGAAAGAACACAAAAAAGCTATGAAAACTACATCTGTAATTCAATTTATACAAAGCAGTTTATTACAAAACTCAAATAATTTCGAAATTATACGTGTAGAAAACAAAAAAACATGTTTAAGAGATTAATAAATTGAACATATTAGGCCTAATCTTCTATTTATAACTACTTTTGTAATCACCCTTAAATTTAGTACCCACCTGTATAAGCGAATTTGTTAATAGCTGAAGTTCAGTACTGAAGAAGGCATCGCGTCGTGTGGATTTTTTGTCACTTTGTGTTTGCTTGCGTCATTATTATCACGGAGTAATTAAAAGCTTTCATTGATTTATTAAATAATAGTTAAAGATTTCATAAAAATCCATTTATTTATTAGACTTTTATTGGATTATTTTTGCATTATTGTTTTTTTTTTTCATATTTGTGGTATACATGCTTCATCCTGTAATTTAATTTTTAAGGAAACCTACGGTTCATTCCATTATACATCACTTTTATACCTTTCTGATTTTGGTATGGATTTTAAAGGGGGTAGATTAACATTTATTGATAAACAAGCAAACGTCACAATCGAACCCAGAAAAGGGCGAGTGGCTATTTTTACATCAGGTGCAGAAAATTTTCATTTTGTAGAAAGAGTTAGTGAAGGAACAAGGTATGCTATAACTATCTCATTTACTTGTAACAAGTTTGAGAAGAACGATCAACAAATTTTAGGATTCAATTTGTAAAACTGGTTTTATGTATGCATACAGTGTGATATCTAGTTTTTATTAATTAGCAGTAGAAAAGTATTTTTATGCAAAATACATTCTTCTGATAAAAAGTTTTTTATTTTACACAACTCCAATTATTTTTTTTTTAATGGTGAAGTTATTCAACTTAAATTAGTAATTGGAAAAAAAACGAACCGTTAACGATTACAGTTTTATTAGGTTCACAAATTTGCATTTTATATAAATAATAAACAAAAGTTAACGCTATTATTCGAATGGTATTATTTATATACAAAGTGTACAGTACTATAATATGTATATGCTTATATAAGATACACAGTGAAGCAACACACGGTATATCTTAAAATTAAGCCAAGGAATGTTTTATTCTTTTGAGTTATTATTATTTATTATTTATACCTATATAAAATGTATTAAAATCACCGAAGTCTTTGGTCTCAAACTAACCAAAACAAAAACTTAATAGTCTCATAGCTCGCATTTTTTTTTTTTCGTAATTACTCGACAATAAATTTTCAACAAAAAAGAAATAAATTTTATCATAATATACAAAGTTGTCCAACAACTTTTAAACCTAACTATTTACATAAATTAAATAAGTGCCTATTTAATATTACGTCTAATATTAAATTAGATGCAGATTCTATTAAATATCATCAACAATAACGTAATTAATTAATTCTCTAGTGCAGTCATGTTTTTAAGTGATGTCATGAACAAGAAGAACGAAAGTCAAAGGTAAAAGTTACGATTTACTTGCTAAAGTATTAGCAATTGTGGCAATTTTTTCAACCGTTTGTCCTAACAAAATTGACCTATGATTACCATCTAATGGGAGAACCTGTACCTTCTGTTTGCAGACCTAAACAAAACAAAAAATATTTCAATGACCGTTTGTTGCACTGTTTAATGTATTGTTTTATTAATTAAACAATTACTTACCGAACTCAATCCATAATCTTCACCCATCGATACGTAATTGTCTGTAGCTTTAATAAGGGCAACTTCTCCACCGAATTTAGCACTTGGTGAGTAAATATCAGCAGCACTAAGTTTGTAGTAGAAGCTTCTTGCAGCATCCTTGATTTGCTGCTTAGGATAGATGTTCTCTAGGATGTTTGCTATGTATTCTATTCTTTCGTCTAAGGATTTTAATGCTTTCAAATCTGATGTTACCTGTAAAATGGATATAATGATTGTTAGAAATGCAATTGTATTTTTTACTGTAATTTAAAAATATATTGTAAAAGTAAAGGCAGGGTACAGGCAAAAAACTTATTTAATAAACCAATATCTACGTTTTGCCAGGGATGCACACCGCTACTTTTTAATCTATACATCGAATACGTGATCGACATCATTACAGAGATAAGGATAGACATACAGGGGGGAAAAGATTAGTACGTTTAGATTTGCAGTTGATATTAGCAATATTAGACAAAATAGTACTGTATGAAAATAAATAAAAGTAAAACAAAAACACTGGTATGCAAGGGAAGAAAAAGTAGGGAAAGAGCGAATATAAAGGTAAGAGACGAAAAATTAGAAGAAGTGGTCGATTTTAGGTATCTAGGAAGTCAGATTAGTCAAGATGGAAGGAGTAGTAGGGATATAAAGCAGAGGATAGCGCAGGGTTGAGTCGCCTTCAGTAAAAAGAAGTCACTTATATGCTCGCGAACAGTTAATTTAGAAATTCGAAGAAGATTGTTGAAGGTGTATGTTTGGAGCGCGGCGCTGTACGGGTGCGAAACATGGCTGGTAGGCGCTGCGGAAAAGAAAAGGTTAGAAGCGCTTGAAAGGTGGTGTTACAGTCGAATAATAAGAATACCGTGGATAGAGAAGGTTAGAAATGAAGAGATTTTAGAAAGAATAGGAGAACAGACGACTCTATGGAAGTCAATAAAAAATAGGCGAGATAGTTTGGTAGGACACCTTCTCAGACATGAAGGTCTAGTCAAAGACATATTAGAGGCAGAAACAAGAGTAAGGAAGGGTAGAGGTAGACCTATATTGAATTACTGTTCGCAAATAGTTAAGGATGTGGGGTGTTCTATGATAGTTTTAGGGAAATGCGAAGATTATGATTGGAGGTGCGTGTTCAATCAGTTTTAGGACTGACGACCTTATGATACGTTTCACCTTCTCGTACAAATTTTATCAAGTCGATGTTGGTTATTAAATAAACTCCCTCTGTGTCCCTATCCCGGCTTTGATTTTAAAAGTGCTTATTTACCTTTTGTTGGTCAACATCTTTGAATTGAATTGTGAAGTAAAGAAGCGCTTCAGTTTGTTCGGCGGCAGTATTTCCTTTGATTTGGTTCCTAACTTTTCCAGTATGTGTTGCAACGTAAGAATGTGATCCATCAATGAACAGAATTCGAACCTTTTCTCCTGCAGCTTCCAATTGAATGCCCATTTCGAAAGAAACGCAAGCTCCATAAGAGTAACCGATAAGTGTGTAGGGTCCTTTGCTTTGTACATTTTTGATTTCGGAAATGTAATACTTGGCGAGATCGCTGATGGATTTTAGAGGTGCCGATTTTGTGCACTGTACTCCGTAAACTGGCACGTCTAACAGTTTGGCGAATGTCGTTAAGGTTGTTACGACACCTTCGACAGGATGTATAACAAATACAGGGTTCTTTTTGCTGTCAGTGCTTCTGCTTTCCATTTGTATGATCGTTTTTGTAGGCATAAGTTCTGAAGATGGTTCAAATTGAACCTGTTTGTCATCAACAACGGCTTTGACCGTGTTACTTTGTGCTGGTGCAGCTTCTCCACTTCCCCCACCACTTTCCAGTTTTACAAGGCTTCCAAATGTGAGACCACGAATTTCTTGCGCGCTTAACACCAAGTCGTAGTTGCGTTCTAACGTTTGTTTTATTTCGGCACCCATCAGAGAGTCCATCCCTAAATCGGCCAGGGACGCATTTGGTGCAACGGTCTTGGCATCTTTAATTCCTAAAATGTTGGCCACAGCGTCTGTTAATTTCACTTGGCTTCCCGCTGAGCTCTTCCGCTTTTCGGCAAGCACCATACTAGCGACCACAGGGTTAGGTTGTTGAAGAAATACATCCATGGTCGCTAAGCACGAGGACATACGTTGTGGTAGAGTTCCGCCAACTTCTGTATCATTTCCGCCCATTGTTTCAAGTATAAGGCCCACATCACCGATGGCGCCCCATTGAATAGCAGTGCCTGGTAATCCGGCTGCTTGACGAGCTTCGCAAATACGTTCCATTGCCGAGTTTGCGAAACCGTAATTTGCCTGACCGGCGTTACCGCGTCCACAAGAGACCGATGAGAAAATGACAAAGTAGTCGAGTTGTGGCGCTAATTTTCTTGAAACGACATCAAGTTGTTTAGTTGCATCGACTTTGGGTTTTGCAACAATGCCGAAATCTTTTTCAGTTTGGTTTTCCATCATTGCATCTCGTAATACGGCCGCAAGATTAAATATTCCGCCTACCGGGCCGAGTGAATTTGCTTCTTGAAGAAGTTGAATGGCTCCTTTTTCGGTTGTTGAATCGGCAGTTGATACGTATACTACTACACCCTTCTCCCGCCAGCGTCTAATGCATAGGGACTGGTAGCCGGTTTTGATTCCGCTTCTAGACGTGAGGACAATTTTTTTAGCACCTCTGAATATTAACCAGTTAGTTAATTCCAAACCAAAACCACCAAGACCTCCTACTAATACGTAGGTTTTGTCCGGGTCCATGTAGGTACGTGGAATCGCAGTCACCGTTTTTGGCGTTGGTTTTTGCGTCTTACGATTTTCTTCTTCACGAATCTTCAACAAAACTTTACCGATGTGTCGACCCGTAGCCATATACCTAAATGCTTGTTCAACTTGATTTTCGTTGAACACCGTGTTTGGTAGAGGTTTAACGGCCCCGCTCTTAATACCTTCGCTTACCAACCTGAAGACTTCTCTTTTTTGCGGGTTATTTGTTCCGAATAAAGCATCAAGAAGAATGCCATGGAATGTGGTGTTTTTCAGGAATACACTCATTCCTAACGGCGAATTGCTCGAGAGATCCACTTTTCCTATTTCAAGGAATCTCCCACCGTTAGCTAGACAGCGAACCGATGCTTGTAACTGGTCTCCTGCCAGCGAATTTAAAACCAAATCAACACCCCTTCCGTTGGTTTGTTTCAAGATTAATTGTTCAAAACTAGTGTCTCTAGAATTTCCAATGTGACTATCGTCCAATTGAGGAAAAGTTTTCTTTAGAAAATCTCGTTTCACTTGACTGCTAACAGTAGTAAATACTTCACAGCCCATATGAAGAGCAATAGAAATAGAAGCTTGACCTACACCACCGGTTCCAGCGTGAATAAGTACAGACTCTCCCGGACGCATCTGACCTCGTACCACCAAAGCGTAGTAACTCTGTTAATAAGGGTTTAAATATAGTAAGTGTTGTTTTTGTTTCAAGAGAAATGAACTTACAGTTCCGTATACAACAGGAATTGTGGATGCTTCTTCAAGGCTCCATTTGTCGGGAACTTCCCATAAGAATCCGGGATCAGCAAGTACTGTCGTTGCTAAACTACGAGCTTCTACCATTCCCATCACGCGTCGACCTTTACTATCGCGACCAGAAAATTCAAGACCCAAAATACAATCTTGACCAGCAAGATCGCCTGGAAGTGCATCTGGAGGAAGTTTACCAGTTGCCAACATAATATCACGGAAATTAAGAGGAGCGTAATAAACTGAACATAATTCCGAGTTAAGATCTTCACCTCTGCAAAGAAAAATCATTATATCCTCAAATCATTGTTACTTTACATTGAAATAACTCACTTGTAATATGATAATGGTCCTTCTATCCATTTAAGACTTGCCAAATCGCCTCTTGTCAAAGTATTTATGTATGCATGTTCAACTTGTAATTTACCACTATCATTGACCTGATCCAAAAGTATATGACGATACGATCCCCAGACGCCCCTTTTAAGAACGTTGTGTACTAAATCTCTTGTAAGCTGTTGGGCATAAATCGGGGAAGTGAAAGAAAATTTAGGAGCACTCTTATCTTGGATAAAAACAGCTCGTAGATTGACACCACCTGGTTCTTGCTTTATACAGTTAACAAATCCAACTAGACCGGTTAGTTCTTCACCTTGGGTGACTAAATAAACTTTAGTTCCTTCAGTTTCGCTTTGTTTCAAAGCTTGCTTTACAGGTTCTACCCAAGAAAAGTTTTTCTCGGTAATGTTTATTACTATATTTTGACTAGATACTGTTGTTGGTCTACGAAGTAACACATATTTTCTGGTGCCCACAACTTGACTTGCAACAACGTCAGCTCCAAGAGCAGAAACCGATTTATTATTAACTGCACTTGCTGATTCTTCTAATAAAACGAATCCTCCTTGTTTCAAAGATCCTAGTGCGTTCTGGACGATATTAGGGCTTTGCGACAAAACATTGCTAAGAACAACAAGATGAAGATTCTGATCGAACGGTCCGTTATTAACATCCTTCTGAACAGTCGTAATTCCTTTAGGCTCCAAATAAGAGGTGTATGAGTCTGGTTCAGATGACACGATGGCAGCGTAATCTACCGAAAGCATCGGTTCCGATTCTAAAATATCTTTGATTTCATTGGCCAAAAGGGCTTCTGCAGGTTTCACTCCGGCAACTTCTGCCACTTTAAGTTTGAGAGCTCCACCGCTATTTTCCAAAACCAATTGTGAAAGAACTGTGAGTGCCTCCGTTTTTGATTTGTCTTGACTTTCTGAGAGTTGTTGGTTGTTCTCAAATGGTACAAATTGGTATTTTTCTAGTTTTGGTGCAGCTTGTGTTTGTTGTCGTCTAGGTGCCAAGCTAGCTTTCATACCTCTTAACTCTATTCCTCCCGATTTAATAACTCCAATATTTCTGTACATGCTTACCTCAATATCTGCAAAAGAGTGAATAAACAATATGTCAAAAGAGAATTAGAATAATAAAACTCACTTTCGCCTTCGGGTAACTGACTAACAAGTTGTACGTGTTCTTTGGGATTGATAACCGCGCGTTGCAAGCGGGTAGGAAGGTACAGTTCCCGCGTATTTTGACCAAGAATTGAAAATTGTAACATGGTGTCTACGAAACTGATCCAGTTATTTTCCCATTTGAGTTTTCCGTTAAGACCATAGTTGTCGGACTCCGCAATTCCGCGGAAAACTCCTTCGTAGTCGTAGCCTCTAAGTCTCAATTCTTTGTAAATATCGGGCGTCGTCAACGAAAAAACGTCTTTATCTTGTTTGGCTTCTAACTTTGGAAGATTTAATACTTCCTTGCTGACATCATCTGGGACTCTGATTTTACCAGATACTGCTACAGAACCGCCCTCGCAAATTTCAAACTCACCGCTGCCTTCAAAAATGTTAATAAGGAACTTAACGGAACCCTCCTTGGGCATAATCGTAGCACGATGGAATTGAACGTCTTCAATGATTACAGGAGTTTGTTCAAAATCTTCATTACGAAGTTTAGCGTATGTTTTCCACGCCAATGTCTATAAATTAACGTAAGTATGTATTATACACTTGTTTATGTCAATAAAATATCAACATACCAAGTAACCTGTTGCTGGGAACAGCACACGTCCATCTATAGCGTGTCCAGAGAGATACTTATCGGTTTCTTTGCTAAGATCGACTTCAACAACCAATTCACCCGATCTTGATCCTTTTCCTGAGAAATTTGCCACTGACCATTCAATTGAGTGATCCCAGCCAACAGCTGAGTTTAACATTGGTGTTCCACGGCCGACCGGGAATGAAACCGGATGGTACAAATTACCAATTTGAGGTTGTGCGCCAGCGTTGTAAATTCTGAGATTAAAGATTTACTCTCGTTAACAACTAAATTTAACAAAAAAACGTTTCAAAAACTTACTTTCCAATATTAGAAAGCAGGAAATTTGCATTATTTTCGTGGCCTCTTTTTACCAAGCCAATGTTGGTAACATCAGGTCCAAGAGCTCTTTTCAGGATCGCTTGAAGTAATGCATGAGGAGCAACTTCAATGGCAATAGCGTCTGATGGAACGTGTTGAATAGCTTCGTGGAAAAGCACCGGTGATAGTAGGTTGTTCACGTGGTAAGCTGGAGAACTGAATTGTGCCAAAGGCGTTGACCAAGCGTTTTCGGGGATGGAAGACGAAATCCATCTCTTTGTTCTTGGTTTAGGGTTCGGAATGATTTCATCGAGAGCTTTTCTCAATTTCGGACCGGCATCCGCAATATATTTGCTGTGAAAGGCAGTTCCAGAGCTCTTAACAGCCTTAGCAAATATATCTTCGGAAGACAACTTTTCAACGAATTTGTTTATTGAAGCTGGTGGTCCTGAAATCGTTACACTGTCTTTGCTATTGTGGCATGCCGGAAACACGTCAGGAGGGCATTTGGCTTTGCATTCTTCCCATGAAAGGCCCACTGCAGCCATGGCACCAGGGGCCAGTTTACTTTCGAGGATTGCACGTCCTCTAGAGTAAGCAGCCAAAATGGCTTGCTCAGCTGTGAGAGTCCCATCAGCATAAGCGCATCCAACTTCTCCCACAGAATGACCAACGATAACATCTGGTTCTATTCCGACCTCCTTGAGGGTATCTGTTAGTGCAACTTGTACGGCAGCAATTGAAATGAAAGAGTTCAGCACGTTGTCGAATGTTTCTTCAGTTCCGTTAATAATAATGTTTTCTAAGTTGACTCCATGTGGTTTGAGCGCTTCGGAACACCTGCTAATCGAATTTTTAAATACTTCTATCTGCATTAGGTCTTTTGCCATTCCAGGCCACTGCGAGCCCATTCCGGAAAATACAAATGCAATTGGTCTCTTATCGGAAACTATTTGAGTCACTTCTTGGGTGTTGTCTTGTCCCAATATTTTGTAGCCGCGGTAACTGTGTCCGGCAATGGATTTCGAGTGAATTTCATCTATTAAAGCTACGAATTCTTCATCGTTTTTATTTTGTTCCAACCTATCTAACAAGGATGTCACAGCTTCTTCGGTTCTTCCTGATACGGCAACTAGTCGGGGTAAGGAACTTGGCGGCCAGGATGTTTTGGGTTTGGGATTCGATTTAAGCAAGATGTGTGCATTTGCTCCACCGAAACCGAATGAATTGACGGCGACGAGACCTCCATTCCACGGTTCATTCTTTGATACTACTTTCAGTCTGCCATCTGAGAGAGCGGGTATGTCTGTGTTTGGACTTTTAAAGTGAAGATTTCCGGGAATTACTCCCGACTCCATTGCTATCACTACTTTGGCGAGTGAACACAGGCCGGATGCGGGTTCAGAGTGTCCCATATTGCTTTTGACCGAACCGATTAGGAGCGGAGTCTTTCTGTTTTGACAGAAAAAATCTGCGATCGAGTTTACTTCTTGTGGATCTCCTACTTTAGTTCCGGTACCGTGAGCCTCAACGTAAACAACATCGGCAGGATTTACACCAGCTTCCTGGTACACTTCTCTGATAAGTTTGTTTTGCATTTGACCTGAAGGGAATGTTATGCCCTGTTCTTTGTTTCCGTCTGTGTTAGTTCTAGCCCCCAAAACGCTTGCGTACAGCCTCCTAGCAGCGCTTGCTTTCTGCAATAAACATACAACTACTGCTTCAGCTCTGACGTATCCATTTCCGGAACTGTCGAAAGCCTTGCACATTCCGTCGGGACTTAACATACTCAGTCTGTGAAATTGAAGAGAAGACGTGGGTTTCAAGAGGAGATTGCACCCTCCTACAATGGCAGAATCGCACTGTCCAGTCTGAATGGCATTTACGGCTTGTTGGAATGCGAATAAACTACTCGAGCAGGCGGTATCGATGGCATAACTGGGACCGTTGAAGTCGAAAGTGTATGAAATTCGGTTAGGGAACATTGCTCTGCAACAGCCTGTTAATCCATAGCCGTTTACTTTATCTGGATCTGCCGTCCAGTATTCGTCAGATTCACTGTCCGATACACCGACAAAGACGCCGGTTTTTGTGCCTTTTAGGTCAGCTGGATTATATCCAGCGTCCACGATGGCTTCGTAAGTCAATTCCAAAAGAAGACGAAGTTGTGGGTCCATAACGTGTGCTTGTTTGGCATGCACGCCGAAGAAAGTGGCGTCAAAATGCGAGAGATCTTTGAGTTTACCGGTACGGGTAGGCAAACCGTATAATCCAGAAGGCCATCGCCTTTCATCGTCTGTGACGAGATCAACTCCATCGAAAAGCTGTTGCTTGAACTCTTCGATGCTGTTGCTCTCTGGTAGGCGACCAGATATTCCGGAAATGACGATTTCTTCTTTGACGTTAAACGGTCCGTTCGTGTGCGTTTCTGGAACTCGGGCTGGCATTTTATGCTATAATAAAGTTTTCGATGCAGAAAAAGGTTTAACAGAATGGGCTGACGATGAAAGATGGAATAATAACTAATGAGAAAAATAAATAACTTACGATAACCTAATTAATCACCTGCATTTCGTCTTCAGATTAGGTCAAAAATAGTTGTAAAACGAAAAATTTATAGCTAACTGTTTGAACGTGATTTGTTTTGTTTTTTTTTAATCGATAGTTGTATTTTACGAAGTCATATCTTATCCTAAGAAATTTCGTTAAAAGTATAAAATATTATGAACGTAGATTTGACTATTCCACAATAATCTATTCTCCATTTCATCCCTTAGTTTGGATAATATTATGTAATGTTCAAGGCAATTAAGGAAGGTTTTTATTTATGAAGAACCAACCCTGACGTTTCGCCTCTATTGGCGAGGATTTTTCAAGGTAGGTTTATTCTCAAGGCAACGGTAAAGACTCTTAAATACAGGCGAAACGTCGATGTTGGTTCTTCATATATGAAAACCTTCCAACCCTTCATTGGCTTGAACTTTACTTAATATTTCCACAATAACATTTGCTAATAATCATTTCATGCTATACATGTGTGTAATATTTTCTCGTTAAGTAATTCTTTATTTATTTTTGGCGAATTTTACAAATAAAAAATAATTACTTCATACTTATTTATCACATAAGGAATTATAATTTGTTTGATTACTAATTCACGCAATATTATTTTATGCAACTTTTATTATTTAGGAAACTTTTACTTTATTTCCAAAATTATCGAAACATAGTATAACTCACTTAAATAACGATAAGGGGATATAAATATAGGTAGATCAATAGTAATTATAATACAATACAACAGGTATATATATAAATACATGTCTAAAACTGACAGGTTTACAACAATTCTTTCAGTGTGTTATAAAAATATTTTGGTAGATAATTAAACTCTAGGTTCTCATAAACACATTAATTTCGTTATTCTTATTCCAAATCGATATATGTAAGAATAAATGCAACTTGTGTGGTTTGCCCACAATTCAAAGTTATCCTTTTTAAAAGATTAATGAAGATTTTTCGACATAATTAGAATCTTTTGCATAACTAATAATAAAATTTATAGAAAGTATGACACAATTGCGAAATTACTGTAATTAGGCATCGTAACTTATGGATAATGCTAATGAGAAAAAATACAAACAAGTTTTAACTGCATTTTTATTAAGAGGTTGTTAAAAGAAGCGATAATCTTTTTTTTTATCTCGTTTACATTGTCCAATACAAGAATTCTATTTAGAAAAGTCAAATTATTGTATTTAATGGTAATTTAATAAATTACGATTCACGTATGTAAAAAAAATTACGTCGTGTTTCTGTCTAATAAATAAACATGCTAAATGTTTTAAGAGTGACAGGTTCGTGTCGAATGACCGGCTAGATGATATCGCACAGCTTTCGTGACCTTGATATTATCATTATCAGTTGACATAACATATTACTTGGAAATGTACAAAAGTCTGCATCTATTACGTAAGAGAGATGTCCTTCAAAATATGACGTTTCTTTGGAATATCGCGCTGAGGTTATGCCGAGGACGATAGGACGTTGATTGTACGTACTCTGTACGATGTAGATATTGTTGTAATTAAAATGTAACGTATGTAGGTACATGAATCGATTTTCATTATTATCGTTGCCTTGACAATGAACCCTATTCATTTCGATTTAACAGGTAGGTTCATGAAATGTGTGATAGGTACCAAATAAACAGTGTCACGAATGTTAATGATCAATTAAAAAAAAATTATGGTATGAAGTTTTCCATAATTTCAGTTCCGCGTTAACCCAAACGACAAACACTATTGGTATTCCGAATCGGTAATGAATTAATGAAGAAATATCTAATGAGCTAGAAGGTAATTTAATGGATTACTTCTGGAAGATTCCACAATCTGACCAAACATTCGATAAATAAATAATTTTAGTTCCGCTTTATATCGGACATGAAAAATACATAGAAGAATCCGTAAATAAAGAAACGTTTTGACCTAATAGGTAGTAGAATAATAGAATACGAAAAATAGTGCAGGGTTTTCCAATAAGAAGTCCAATTTTACTTATGATACAGACATATATTCTTCAGTATCGGAAGTCCTTCATGCCGTAGACTAGTTAGAAATTAAGAGATATTAGAAAGAATAGGAGAACAGAAGACTCTGGGGAAGTCAATAAGAAATAGGGGAGACAGGTTGGTAGGACACCTTCTCAGGCCTGAAGAGCTAGTCAGAGACATATTAAAGGCAGAAACGGGAGCTAGGAGTTGTGGTAGACCTAGATTAGATTACTGTTTGTAAATAGTCTAGTTTTAGGGAAATGCGAAGATTAGTTCAGGATAGGAAAGAGTGGAGGTACGTGTCCAACCAGTCTTAGAACTGGTGACCTTATGATGATGTCCATATTGCCCAGTGTAGGTCAAAGAAAGGCAGTTATAGTATTCTACGGTAGCGCGGTCTGACCAATCTTAAAGCCGCACCAAAAAGTATCTTAACTCTTTAAGGATAAAGAGGATAATGAAAGATGATTTCTTTTTAAGTCACGATTATCCAACTGCATTTCTAGCATCCAATAATTCGGCGTTCTTCATAATCAACAAAATGGTCTTTGAGATTCTTAATTGTCGTGAACGTCTTGGGATAGACTTATTATATGACATACTAGGTTTTCTGTAAGACTTTTTACCTTGCCTCACGGTGCGAATTCAAACTGGCAATGTTACTGATATAAAACTACACAAATTTTGCAATTAGATTTATAGTAATAGCTTTTTATGAGGTGATTTAAAATTGTATTCTACCATAGTTAGTTTTAGTGTTAAATTTAGACAATTCAATAAATAAAACAAGTTTTAAACGCTGTGAATAATGACCATTCTGTTCCGTTTCTATTCATAAATTAATACGAATGAAGTCATGGAATTAAGCATGGAAAAATAAAGCATTATTTGAATGATTTTTTAATGGATAATCTAACATAAAAATTTTCCAAAAGGTAATTTTTAATATGCGTTAATTCTAACTTCCTATTTTGAAGTCCTAATTGATCAATAAAAATATGATGTGTCATATACCTAATTGTTTTTGAAAAAATATTAAGTTTTATCTAGTTACCATAAGTTAATTAATCATTTGAATATCAACATTCAACTTTATTAGCTGTCAAAAATAATGTCCAATAGGTGACTTAGCCCTATCATTAAAAAACAAAAAATAACTGGTGCTGAAGTGCGTTAGTGTTCTGCTTCAACGTGCGGTTACACAACACCCGATATAAAAAAAAATAATTTTTTCAAAATATAAACTAAGGTTTGGTTAGGTTCGATTACGTTACGGTTTTCCAGAATTTATTTAACTAATTGATTTTTGAAAAAATTTTGTTGTGTGTGCCAATTTTATTTGTTCATAACAAATTTTACGAAGTAGCTCGTTAGAGCATAATACTAGCTAGCTACTACTAGGAATTTGATTTTTGGAAATTGGATTCTTGGCATATTTCATAAGAATTGCGAAAAATCTTGTATAGATAATAGTCAATCATGGCAACAAAACATGATCATTTCACAAACTAACAATCTCCAAAATGCGTGAGCCATGTGAAGTAAAACTGTTGATAAGATTAATTGCTGGTGTAACATATTACGCATATTTAGGTGCTCATGTACTTTTATCAGTGACATAAAAAGTTAATTCGTTTTTCTAATTTGGAAATGTTTTATATTAATGGTAAATTATTTTTAGTTACATTTACATCCTTATTAGGAATAATTTGAAACACGGACATTTATAGTTGTAAAATAATATAACTCCTTAAAAATTCTGCACCAGTTACCATTCGACATAGTTTTCATGGCGTGTTGACATTGACATTAAGTGCATTCGTGCGAAAAATGGAAATATAAAAAAAAGAAAGCACACATATTTTCATAGAAATGCTTGTGTTTGTTAAAAACACGAATGAAAATACAATATAAAACCCTGAATTATCATGTACCTACCAGTCATGAGTAATAACAAACAAAAGTATTAATTATTTATTAATTGATCAGTTGCAGTTATTACCGATGCGACAATAATAAACAATGTCACCATTTTTTGTTTATGTTATTATACGATAGGACCTATACCTACTTTCGCAAGTTCGAGGTTAACAATATTGAGATACTTATCAATGATTAAGATGTACCGTTAGATTTTTATATTTAGATACCTAATAGGTAGGTACTTCGGCAGGTATAGGAACAACAATATTTTTTTTATAGGAATCCTATGGTTTTGTTAATTTTTATTTTAAATATCTAGGCAAGCAATTTTCGAAAATAAAAATTTTATGGCCTATTTCGCAAGGTCACTGAAGACAGGAAAATTAAAAACACAAGATTTAATTAATGAAGCCAATAATTTAATAAGGGCGAAAAAAATAAATAATTTTATAAAGAATAATATTTATACTACTAATTAATTGCGTTCGCTATTCTGTCACATTAAAAAAAATAATTGAACTAAATAATGAGTGAATGAATAAAAATTTACAAATAAAAAAAAAACTAAATACGATCGCCTTACATACCTGTATTCAGATAATCCTTATTGGCAGGAATGAGAAAAAACTAATAAATACAATAGAAATAATATCACACAGTAATTGATCGGATATTCAAATAGAACAATCAATCGTTCACACTTGTTCTTGCTAGTATGTTAATAAATAATGACGATACATGCATCGAGATTTAATGATCGCACTCTACAGCGTGTTCGGTCGCGCACTGAGCCATGCCGTTTTTTGCACTTGGCATTTATTTGTAGCACGATATGGTCTTATGTCAGACCACGCCGTGCGACCAATGGGGCGTCGGATGGGAGCCTCGTGTCTTGCGAATGCTCCCGAAAAGAAGACGCCCGATAATCGCACTGACCCTGCTGCATCCACGGTGCGGTCAATAGTTTACCCCGTCTGCGTATATTATACTTCTGATACCCACCACGCTGTCTTTTGTTTTCCCGTGTATCTATTATTACTCATCATAGGGCAGCACTTGACCATTACTTCATTCATAATGGGTGTTTTTTTGTAGTTTCTCACTAATCCTTGTCCCGTCATGACGTTACGTAGATTAAAGTGACGTAGAAAAGCAATTTAATTATTACACCAACAATATAAGGTACTTATTTTACTCAATGTACAAATGTGCTTTACCTATAGTCGTCAGGAGTAATTCGATTGTATATTTACAGAAATCAGATTAGATAAAAAATGTGTAGGAGTTTATTAAAGGATGGAACTAATTACATTCAGTCACAAATTGACTTAATGAGTCATTGTTTTGTGGGTAAATGTTTTCCGAAAACGTAACTGTAGGTATCTTCAAATATAAAATCATACGTAGAAAGGTGTGCGTACTGCGTACTCCAGGGAATCCTTCTTGGTCAATGTTCAAAGGTCAAGAAAGGTCGCCGTTGATCCTTGAAGTGAGAGGTCAAGTTTACGTTAATGTTTCTTATCTTATAAAGCCTACCAATTTACGAGATCTATAAGCTGTTAGGTATTCTAAAGTTTTAATATTCTATAATTAATAATTCGTTTTTTGCCGTTAGATGCATTTAAATAAATATAATAAACTTGGTTAGAGATAGCAAAATTATGCAAGTGAATTCAGACGATATCAAGTATAATGATATAGCAGTAAAATGCTAACTGAAAGGAAAATAATCTTGATCACGCATCAGAAAATGATGCTTAATCATTGTTCTCGTGTTACTGAATTTTCTGTAAGGTCACATTATTCACAAATCAAAAAAGAATAATATAATTATGATGTGTGGGATCCGTGCTGTGTAATTGCCGAATCCGTACTACTAAGGTGACCATACGTCCCGGATTGGCCGGGACAGTCCCGGATTTCCACCTTGCGGCCCGGATTTTTCTAGAAGTAATATTTGTCCCGGATTCAGGTTTTTGTCCCGACTGTCCCGAATTTTTGAAAAGGTTTTTATTTTCAATATTTATTTTAAATATATTTCAACTAGAATTATTTTTACAAAATTTGAACCGAAAAAATTGTGCATATCAAAATACGCG